CAATGTCCGGCTGAATGGCAGAAGAAGGGCAAGAAGAGACTGGGGACAGGTGCCACGCAGCAGGCTGTGCCAAGGAGGTGGGCACAGGCTCTGCCATCCCCACTGGCTGAACTGGTGCTGCCGCAGCATAGGGGGGCCATTGCACAAAGAGGTCCCAGGGGAGGAGGACAAGGCAGAGGGATGGCAGAGGGCTACCCATCCAGAAGGATGCTGAGGCAGTGAGATGGGTCATGACACCTGCTGCAGGAGATGCTTGAAACTGCAGGTGGCAATGAAGCCTTCGCAGGAAATGTCCTTTTTGAAACCAGCATTCCCCTAACTCCTTTGCCTTTGGCTCAAAGAATTTATGCATATTTTTACAGTATGTCAGCAGCTGGGGTGGGTCGAGACAATGCCTAGTATTAATACAGGCTGGGGGATGGAGGAATTGAGACTAGCCCTGAAGAGAAGGACTTGGGGTCCCGGTGGATTAAAGATTGGACATGAGTGAGCAATGTGTCCTTGCAGCCCGAAAGGCCAATTGTGTCTTGGGCTGCACCCAAAGGAGCATGGCCAGCAGATCAAAGGAAGTGATTCTGCCCCTCTACTCTGCTCTGGTGAGGGCTGCAGTCCTGTGCCCAGCTCTGGAGTCCTCAGTACAGGAAAGGCATGGACCTGTTGGAGAAGGTACAGAGAAGTGCCACAAAAGTGATCAGAGGGATGGAGCACTTCTGCTGTGAGGAAAGGCTGAGAGAGTTGGAGTTGTTCAGCCTGGAGAAGAGAAGACTCTGAGAAGACCTCATTGTGGCCTTTCAGGTCTTAAAAGGGGCCTGTAAGAAACATAGGAAGAGACTTCTTAGACTGTTGCGACAGGACAGGGGGTGACGGTTTTAGACTAAAAGAGGGAGATTCAGGCTGGATGTGACGAATAAATGTTTTTAAACGAGGGTGGTAAAACACTGGCACAGGTTGCCCAGAGAAGTGGTGGATGCAGCATCTCTGGAGACATCCATGGCCAGGCTGGATGTGGTTCTGAGCAACCTGATCTAGCTGAAGATGTCCCTGCTCACTGGACTAGATGAGCTTTGAAGGTCCCTTCCAACTCCAACAATTCTATGATTCTATGATAATTCAGGCATTAGGGACTCACTTGAATAAATTTCCCACCAGGCCGTAGATCAGAAATTATCCCACTCTACAGACACCTCATGTGGCACGGATGGAGTTCTACTGCCTTGAAAAAGGTATGACTTGCCACTGTTGCAGGAGTCAGGTGGGACTCACTCTCTCCCAGCAGGCAGTTTTTCCAAGAGCCCACAGGATGATCGATATGGAGGTGGCAGTCTGAAGGCTTCAAACGGACTTCTCAGAAGCAGCTCTAAATCAAGCTGGAAGCCACGCCGATGCTGCAACATGCAGGTTTGCAAGGCCCAGGCTTGCAGCAGCGGGGGAGGACAAGCCTTCTGCATACCAAGGGTCTACCCAGGACCTTGGTGTTAAATCCTGAGGGTTCATGAGGTGAAGACCACATGAAGAAGGGCAGCTTTTCAGGGAGACAATGTTACAAGAGACCTGGGAGCCCCACACCAAAGGGGTCTTCTGGACATGCTCTGCATGGCACTTATTGCCATTGGATAGATGGGCTTTGACCACCCGTGTGGAAAGACAAACAAGGAGAATGCCACTGCTATGGTGAAAAGTGTGGACTGCAGACACAGGTTATCCTAGCATGGAGACAAGGGCTCATGGAAACTGCCTGGGTTCCAGGGAGCAAGGAGTGCACGTAACATTTACACCTGAATTAGAGAAGAGTCATGAAGTATTTAAAGTTAAGCATGTTCCGAAATACCTTGTGCTTTTGGCTTCTAGCTGTGAACAAGCTGCTTGGCTTCTTACACATCACAGTCCAAGCTTGCCATGGGAGATTTAATGATCCTCTAGTGGAAGATGTCCTTGACCATGGCAGGGGGGTTGGACTAGGTTATCTTTAAAGGTCCCTTCCAACCCAAACCATTCTGTGAGTCTGTAACACTTTCACCAAATAAATGCCTGTGGTCTCCTGCAGATGAAGATCTGCTTGCTGCTTCAGGAGCTCTCAGGGCAGTGGTAGCATTTCCTTTTCTATCTGCCTCCTTCCTTTCCTCCTGGGCATCTGTCTACCATCCCTGAGGGTGCTCACATTAACCCTGTCCTATTGCACTGGGTGTTGTAGAGTCCCTAACCTCTGCCATAGCAGCACAATGGGACCAGAACAAAAGCCAAAGTTATCCCTATTATTTTGTTCAAAGTTGTTGACCTTGGACACATCTCCCATGGAAGAGAAGGTTCCAGACATGCCATAGGCCGAGTCTAGCTGTAGCCATGCTTTGCCCTTGCATTGCTTCCAATTTCAGTGTTTCTGCTCCCTGTTTCTTAACAACTCACATCTTGATTGGTCATATCCCAGTAAGGCCGCTCGCCGTACGACATCACCTCCCACATGACTATTCCATAGCTCCACACATCACTGGCCGATGTGAATTTTCGGTACTGAATTGCCTCAGGTGCTGTCCACCGTATTGGGATTTTCCCTCCCTGCAGGAAAAAAAACAGGATAGTAACACAAAGACCAAGAGTAATTGAAAAAGACAACTGTCCAAAATTGCCCCTCGAAGGGGGGGACCCCAGGACTATCCCTAACACTACATCAGGGTGTCTGTGGTTTGTCTAGCAAAGTCCAGAAAACTACCAAGGACGATGATTCCCCCCATTTGTCTGGTGACCTTTCTCAAGGCTGCACCATCCTCTTGGGGAAGAAAAGCTTTTTCAGTTAGTCACCTTGACCCTCTCAAGCTATGATTTTGTCTATTGCCCTTTATTATACCATCTGGTACCACTGCAAAGAGTTTGGCTCTGTCTGCTTCGTAACTGCCCTTCAAGTACTGCAGGTCACTTACAGATTCCCTCTTAACCTCCTCTTCATAGTATTAAACAAGGCCAGCTCCTTCTACCTGCCTACTGCTATGGCAATCTTCAGAAGGACAAAATGCCCTTTGTGCTGGTAAGGTCTTTTGTAAAAAAACAAGGGCTGGAGCAAACATCTTTAGTTTTGCATGCTTGGTCACTGGTGGGAAATGAGGTGGACTGGGAAGGCACTGGGGTCTCTGTCATCCTGCTGGGCAAGAGCAGCTCTGGAGAAATCAGTACTCTCCACTCCCATAGAGGAGTTATTCACTGAAGTGCAGAAGAGTGGTGTACACAGCATGGGGCCACAGGGCAATGCTCTGCTTAAGACCTTGTAGCCTCGTGATTTTCCACCAAGAACTTCGGACTTGAGACCTTCTGAAGGGAAAAATCTTCCCCTTTGCTGAAATATAAGCAAAATTGTCTGTGTTCAGTGGCTGTGAGAAGATTAAGGAACATTATATTTTCTCAGTGAATAACTATCATGTCTTATTAAGGGTCTTCTGGGACTTAACAGGACTCAGACCCTGTACATGCTAGAACAATGAAAAAAGAAGATAATGTTCCTTAATCTCCTCAAAGCCACAAATCTCAGACAAAATATTTTGGTTTTCACAAGAAGGGGAGACCAAGCATTCCATACCAAACATGCTGTCTTCTCCATCAGGTATAGTTTTAACAGAGCTCCTGACAAGAAGCAGATTTTAAAAACGGCTAAAAAGAAATCTATGGATTTCTCCACTGCCCCAACAATGACTTATGGGCCAATATTCATTACAATCCAGCTTTAATAGTCCCGTGCAAACATGTCAGAGGACCCCCATCTGGGCCATGCTGGGTGGTTATAATGCATCCTCCCAACTAAGATCTTTATCAAGGACAGGTATATGTTTGCAGACATGTTTGGAAGAAGCCCCAGTTATCCACAGGAATGACTATAGGGCCCATCAACAGCCACAGGACGACTGGACAGGACCTTGCAAGAGAAAATCTTCCTTGATTCATTTCATTGGTCCTTCGCATCTGGCACCTTATTTCCATTGCTGACATCCTGAAAAAGTGCTTCCCACGTCAAGGGGGGGATCTTCCCCTCTCCTTGACTCCTTCCTTCAACCACCCATCCCTCCCCCTCACGAAAAGCAGCTTTACCAGTGCACTGGTATAGGTAGGATCAGAGGTGTCATCCTCCAGAAAACGAGAGAGGACAACGTCAGAAACTTTGCAGACCAGGTAGCTGTTCACCAGGATGTTGCGGGCAGCCAGGTCCCGGTGCACGTAGTTCATATCGGCCAGGTACTTCATGCCTGCCGCGATGCCCCGCAGCATGCCCACCAGCTGGATGACTGTGAACTGCCCATCATTTTGCTTAGGGGAAGAGAGGTAAAGAGTCCACATGAGAGGAGAAAAGGTATGGCCTAGCATGGTAAGGCAAACAACCAGTAGCCTCTTTCTACACTGCATGTCAATACACATCTATTCCACAAGCACCTAAGTTCCCTCTCAAAGAAACAGGGTAGAGAGTGGAGAACTCACAGGGCTGGAAGTCACTCTCATACCCTATGGGCACCACTGTGATGGCTGCTGTTATCCAAAGGTGGCAGATCTGCCAGACCTTGCACAGGAGGGCTCAGAAGGGGCTACCTATTCCTGGGTTATCTCCCTTCAACACAGTGAATTATCCATTTCAAACTCAGACGTATAAATATTTAGACAGAGCAGCTGGAGGTGAAGTCCCGCTGCGTTAAAGCTATGTCAGACTGCCTTTCCATGTCCACAGAGGCAGAGTTTGTACAGGCATCTGTGGGTATGTGTACAGGTAGGCACAGCCTTTTGCTAGTATGAGTGGACACGCTCAACAGACGACAGCCTTGGTGCCACCTCCACTTCTGTTGCTGAGACACAGACCTCTGGGCTATGCAGCAGCTGCCCCAGTGACAACGAATGCTGGGCAGTGAAGGGCACTGCTATACTGGCACAAGGAAGGGACCCTTCCCCTCCAGTCCTCCTCTGGCCCAACATAATCTCTGGAGCTGCATGCTCCTGGGATCTCATACCCGTAAGAAGGAGTCCAGTGAGCCATTCTCCATGAACTCAGTAATGATCATGACTGGTGAACTCTTGGTCACCACTCCCTCCAGGTGGATGACATTGGGGTGGTCAAACTGCCCCATGATGCTGGCTTCACTCAAGAAGTCCCGTCTCTGCTTCTCCGTGTAACCAGACTTCAGGGTCTTGATGGCCACAAAGATCTCTCTTTTACCAGGAAGCTTGAGATGCCCACTGCACACCTCACCAAACTCCCCTGTGAACAGAGGGAAACAGGTAGGGCTTGTCAGCCTCCCTCTGCCTTTCTCCCTGAGGGACCATGCTCCCTGCATGCCCCTGAGCTCACCACCCACCATCTCATCTGTGCTTCCTCCCTCGCTCCACACCAAAGACCTTCCTTCAGGTGGATTCATCACTGGTGAGGAGCACTGGACATGGGAATATATGCACATGGGAACTCTTTGTCTCCAGCAAGGAGATGTACTTGCTCTTCCAGTACTGGACCACCTTACTCCTGCTAGTCCAGGCTGGGGCTAAGTGTAAGACATTACTGGCACTAATCTTCCCAGTACATGTAAGGCTAAATCCTCACCAAAGCCTGAGACCACAAAGGAGACTGCTGCTGAGGGCCAGCCATTCACAGTTCACCTACCTGCCCCAATCACCTGCTCAATTTTGACACAAGAGATATCGATTTCTTTTGCAAATTCCCTGACAGCCTCATTGGGATCTTCGTAGGTGAATGGATCGATATAAATCTTCATCCCTGGAGTC